TTGTTAGCGACACAGCTGTCAGGATCACATCAACAGGTAGTTGAACATCAGTCTCAGAGAGTGTACAACCAATGACACAGTATGCTAGAGATCCATCGCAGCTCACTTTTCAGTATAGAGACTTTAATTAACTACAACCTATTAATAGCAGAGCCAACTGTCTCATCAGGTACTGTACTTTTGGGAACCGAACAATAATCTCCACAGCCTTGCAAACATATTCAAGTTCTAGACTTTACCCTCACCCCCCCCACCCCCCCAACCCCTCGCCTCTTTTCCCACCTCCGCCCACCCGTGATCAGTTATCGTTTTGTAAACAGTCCACTGGTTAAAAGCAGCCATCTTTTCTGTTACTGTCCATTATAAATTCCCCGATCGGGCTTGTAAGTGTTTTTGCCCGCTCTGGTGTTTTCAGTATTGCCATTCACTTTTCTGTCTCATAAAGATAATAAAGTATAATGAAAGATGTTACTGAAAAGTGAAAAGATGTTACTGAAAAGTGAAAAGGACAAGTCAACATGACTAATTAAAAATAAGAACATCTCCAGTAATCAGGTGTAAAAGAAACGGGGCGGGGGGGGGGGGGGGCGGTGTTAGCTGGTTGCAACTGCTCAGTTCCAAATGAATCGTTTGTTCTGTTTACGCGTAAACCAGACTGGAAGGTTATGAAACTATTTTAATGAGTATATAAACTTACGTCGTCATTAGGTGTAACTGTTTTCTTGTACAAAAAGAATTCATAGTGAATCTTCCCATCTGAAGTACTCGCCTTCCTACTGCAGCCACAGTCCCCATTGTTTGGCGTCTTGAACATCTTATCACAGAATCGCCAACCGTTGACTGAACAGATCTGTCGACACAAAAAAAGAATTATGCGTTTGGTCTAGCGACCCTAACAGATCCTGATAAAAGGGAGCTTTGGTTAACACACTTTAGAAATTATTAATAAACATCAAGTGACTGAAAATTTCAATTAACTTTTTGTTACATCACTCAGAATCACAAGGGAATATTATCAAGAAAGTATACAGACTAATTTACTAACATACACAGGTGGAGAAATATCGACGAATGGATTGGGTTTTCTGGTGCATCCGGACATAGCTAACTATTAGACATCCATTATCACTCTCTATTATTTGACATAACTGTAAGTTTAAAAATTAAACAAACAGAAGAAACAAAAACATATACACTATTATATGCACCATGCGACTATGACTAGATAGAAGAACAAAAAATACAAATTCTCTGACGATGTCTCTAAAGCGACTTAGCAAGTGGAGGTAAATAGCATATTATATGCAATGGGAGACTTCAGCGGGAAGGTAAGTAAGAGAACAGAACATGAAACGGACACAGTCCGCAGTTTCTATTGAAACTCGCTTTATTTCCACTTTTCGCACATAAACACTCAGAGGACTGAACTGTCAACACAGTTTAATCTAAAATCCTAGGCCCCCACTCTGGCTTTTGCCAGGGGCCGCAATATAGGCAGGCCGTAGATGTGGCCAGTTGTCTGAACGCGGTTTCTGGGACCTCTCCACGGTGATCCTCATCCACATGGTGGCACTTTGTGTCATCGGTGTTTGTCGCTTGTGTGATGTCTTAGTGGGGTAGAAAGTCAGTCAGTCAGTCACTCAAGAGACGCAACTCAATCCAGAAAAAAAAAAATTAATATTAGAGGATATGAAGTATTTCGCCAGGATAGAAAAACTAGACAAAAAGGTGGGGTTGCCACGTTGGTTCGTAATTCAATACCAGCTGTTGAATTACATAGATCCAAACAGCTGAATACTACATTTACTCACCACCCACCCTCCACACCCTCCATAAAACTGATCGTCGCCACCTTACCTTTTACGATTGACAGACTCCTCGACTTCTGAGGTTTGAATCGCATACCGCTCCATTTTACCACCTCGTCCAATCTTTTCAGAATTGTGCGAGCAGATTCCTCACTGCCCCTGATTATAGTCGTGTCATCCATAAATGCACGTAGTGGCGGCATCCAGTGGTCCCCAATCTGAAGGCCTTGTCCTTAGCCGGCTGCCCCGTCTAAAATGACCTGCATGGCCATGAAGAACAGTATTGGTGCTCAGTCCAACTCGTAGTAAACGTCAAGGTAGAGACGCGTAAAGCGAACTTAGAGAAATATTGCTCGATCATTTCGTTGATCTGTGTCGGTACGTGGAACATGCGAAGAGCCTAACACAGTAGCTTATGGCGAACTGCCCCATGGGCGTTGGCGAGGTCCAACCATATTACGTCCAACTGAGTTCTCTCACGGTTGGCTCTCTGAACAGACTCCCAGGTCATGGTTGCGTGTTCAAGGCACCCAGGGACGCCTGGGATTCTACCTTCCGAATACTCGTATAGATGTATTTGTTCGCCATCAGATACTGTGTGAGCCGGCGAGCCATAACCGAGAAGAATATTTTGCCCTGCGAAGAGCCTGACACAGTAGCTTATGGGGAACTGCCCCATAGGCGTTGGCGAGGTCCAACCATATTACGTCCAACTGAGTTCTCTCACGGTTGGCTCTCTGAACAGACTCCCAGGTCATGGTCGCGTGTTCAAGGCACCCAGGGACGCCTGGGATTCCACCTTCGGAACACTCGTATTTGTTTGCCATCAGATACTGTGTGAGCCGGCGAGCCATAACCGAGAAGAATATTTTGCCCTCAACATTCAACAGCGAAATGGGCCTGAATTAGGAAAGACTCTTCGAGTCTCGCCCTTTGGGAATGTAGAACCCGTTCGCCGGTTGCCACTCGGAACATATGTGATTTCAGCTCCACGCTAACCTCATGAGGCGGGGAAGCATTCGTAGGATTTTCGGACAACGTTTGTACAGGACGTACGGAACACTATTCGGTCCTGGGCGGACTTGCCGCTAGCTCTTTTCACATCTTACTCGACCTAAGACCAAGAGTTAGGTCGCTTTAGTTGGCTAAGGATCTCTGGATTGTTATCGAGAGGCTCGTTCCTTTTCTTATCTGAGTACATTTTGCGTAAATGTGACTCAAGCCTCTCTTTACTGACCACCAGAGTCCCAGACTTCGGTTGCTCGAATAGACATCGGGCAAACTGGAACGGGTCCCTAAAGAATTTCTCTCGCTCCCTTTTGGTTCTCCGTCTGTTGTTACAGAAACGCTTAGCGCGACAGAGGGCACAGTGTGTTTCTTAGGTGCAGCCAGACTTCGTGCAGACCCTTCCGTTGGCTGCCTGTAGCGGCTTTGAATCCTTTTCTAAGTGCGTTTTTATCTGCCATGCACATTTTAGAATGTCCCACAACTCTTACTCAGACCTTGATGCCTGATAGTTGCACGGTAGTCTGTCTCACTCGAGAGATACTGACTGACCCTGACTTGGTCTCTCTCTCTCTCTGTCTTGGACTTTAACTGACTCAGACTGACTACGCATATATCTCTGCCGAACACGAGAGGCACGCTCGTGTAGGCGTTCTCGAGACTCACGCTTATGTAGGCGTTCTCGAGGATCACGCTTTTGTGGGTGTTTTCGAGGATCACCCTTATGTGAGTGGCTGATGTTACATGAGAATCACGCTGTCACGCAATTCAGACTTTGTCTGTGCTTCTCGTTAGCCTTGCTTGTCAGCCCCCACCGTGAACCCACGCTTTTACTTTCACGGGACCCTACACTTCTCACTGGTCAACATTCTCTCCCCTTCACTACTCGGGCCAATATTGACACATTCCCTTGAACTCCCGGAAAGTACTATCATACCACTCTGTCCCTTCACACACTATTACACTCTCCTAAATCAGCACGCAACAAACATCATTGTGCCACCTATCAAAAGCCTTACTAAGGTCAATGAAATTCAAAATAAGTCATTGTTTTTCAACAATTCTAATATAAATCGTAAGTTTATAATTTGATCTAACCAGCTTTTTTTTTCTATGTCAAATAAAATTCATCTTTTCTCTAACGATTGTGTCTACCGCTACTTTAATTCTCGTAGGAATTATTTTACAAAAAGTAATGTATATTACATACCCATATCTTGTCTACGTATCAGGCACTCATTATCGTCATCATCATGTGCCATTTCAGTTGGTGTAGGCGCTCATGCATCTTCACAGATGACGATCCCTGGTTGCCTTGAACAGCCTTTTTGAAGATATTCCTCCGTGCCATTGTTTCAACCCATCCAGAATCATCCTAATATGCCTCTACCCCTCTTTCCGCTAATCTTTCGAGTTGTCACGATGTTTTCCAATGCCTCTTTTCTCATTATGTGGCCAAAGAACATTTTTTTTCTCTCTCTGATTGTTTCTTAGTTTCTTTCAAATAATCGTTGTTAGTTATTATGGCCGTCCAAGGTATTGGTAACATTCGTTTCAGAAACCTTATCTCCGTTGCTTCTAAATACTTCTTAGTTTGTTCAGTGACATTCCAAGATTCGCCGCCATGCAGCAGAACAGGTTCTATGTAACATTTTAGCAGCCTCTTTCTGACATTCAATGAGAGTGACATTGCATAAGATTTTTTCTTCTTCCTGAAATGCAGCTTTTGCTTGACCTATTTTGCATTTAATCTCTGTCACACAATTTTCCATTTGATGATATGTTTGCTCCCATATATTTGAATTTTTTTTTTGACTTGGTTAAGTTTTTTCCTTGTCAGTTGAGATATCACAATGCCGTGTTATCTTCTTCTCTGATATAACAATGACTTCCGTTTTCTTATTATTCAATGAAAGTCCTTTTTTAGCACTCCCGATCCCCACAATATCCAGCAGTTGTTGTAAATCAGTTGCGTTTTCAGATATCAAAACTGTATCGTCTGCATAACGCACATTAAGAGATTAAAGGCCTGTTGTTCAAATACATCATTGCCTAACCTAGGTACGAATATAATACAACTGTTAATCTAGCTTCGATGTATGTTGTACACCTTATAGAATACTCAGACGATGAATGTTGTGTCATGAACGTCAAGCAATGAACAAACTGTAAATGCGCTATACATACCACGCTAGTTCTGTTTAAAAAAACGAATGGCTCACGGTAAAATTTGTTCAACGTGTCGATTGATAGCAGGCTGTTGAAATAAATAAACACTTATTTGTGTTATAGTGTCTGTGAAAAAAACTATCAACAGTTCTGCTTGAGTTTACAGCCGGTGAACGCTAAGAAAAAGCAGTAATGTCTGTTGTAAGTAAACTACTCTTAGGTCTTTCTTGATCATTCCTGTTTTTGTGTCTATAATATTCTTGTAATTATTCTATAAAACCAGATTTCTGCACTGTCTGCACCATTTACCAGGAACCCAACGTTTCTCTTTAGTTCACCTCCATACATCAATAGCCATTCTATATGACTAAACTCTCCTCTAACATCAGTTGACAAACGTATGTTGCATAAAATATTTTTTATCTGGTCAAACGCTCGCTTTGTTTGAACTGTTTAACGCGTAAATTATTAGCCTTTTCCCCCATCTACTGCTATCAGGACATTCACACTTAAAAGGACTGCTGGAACGTTGTGTTTTGGTTTACAGCTAGGCTGAGATATTTGTGAATTTCGACCTCACACATGCGATTTTAGCAAACCCCTAATTAGTCGCCTCTTACAACATGCTATTTAGGGGCGTTGGGTCTAATCCCCCCCCCCCCCCCCCCCCCGAAAATAGATTCCGGATTCACGACGGGAATATCGGCTGTACTGTTTGCCACAAATAACAAAATGTGCAAACATGAAATTAATAACGGAACAGAAAATAAAAATCCTAAGGTTTGGTGGTAACATTGAGTACTAATATAAAACAATAACGATGGATAATGTGGAATAGGGAAACATATCATTATGGATACAATTTACGTGGACAGGACGGTCAAAGAGCATTACTAAAATTGCTGGCCAAGACTAAAGAAATTCTAAAGTTTAACCCTAGTCGTTAAATAAGGCAAAACTTTCCCGATCATCATTAGCTGCCTTACTGACTTACACAGACGATCAACAGACATATAGAAACACGGATGAAGTAACAGACGCACAGAGAGAGGAACTGGAAAGGAGGGGGGGGGGTTGGGTAAGAAAGAGTGAGAGAGATACATTTTGAGTATGATAGGCTGCCTAACGAACTAATGGACGAACGAACTTTATTTTCAAAAGGTCACAAATACATGCATACATACATACATTTAAACATACATAAATGAAAAATATGCAATAAATCGCTCTCACTTAACGTCAGAAAGATGGTGATAAACTGTTTTATAGAATCTGTTCTGCTGTATGGCAGCGAATCTTGGAACGTCGGTGAATAAATTAGAAAGAATTCGGAAGCAACAGAGATGTGGTTTCTGAGACGAATGATACAAATACCTTGGACGGCCAGAGTAACTAACAACGATTGCTTGAAAGAAGCTACTGAAAGTAGATCTCTATTTACAATAACAAGAGACAAACACTTTTTTTTTTTTGGGACAACATAATGAGCAGCTAGACATTAGACAACATCGTGACAACTAGGAAGATCAGTCGAAAAAGGGGTAGAGGCACACCAAGAGAGATGATGCTGGATGGGCTGAAACGATGGCATGGCGAGATATCATCAGGAGAGCTGTCCTAGGCAACCAGGGAGCATTATCTGTGAAGACGCATGAGCGCCTATGCTATCTGGCAGGGGACATGATGAAAATGATGATGATGATGATGATGAACATCCATACATACATATATACATACATACATACATACATACATACATACATACATACATACATACATACATACATACATACATACATACATACATGCATGCATGCATGCATGCATGCATGCATGCATGCATGCATGCATACATACATACATACATACATACATACATACATACATACATACATACATACATACATACATACATACATACATACATACATACATACATACATACATACATACATACATACATACATACATACATACATACATACATACATACATACATACATACATACATACATACATACATACATACATACATACATACATACATACATACATACATACATACATACATACATACATACATACATACATACATACATACATACATACATACATACATACATACATACATACATACATACATACATACATACATACATACATACATACATACATACATACATACATACATACATACATACATACATACATACATACATACATACATACATACATACATACATACATACATACATACATACATACGTACCTACATACATACATACATACATTCATAAATACATACACAAATACACACATTCATACACTCATAAACATACACACACAAACACACACACTCACACATGAATACACTTACATATACATACATAATAAATACATATTACATACATACACACATACATACATACATACATACATACATACATACATACATACATACATACATACATACATACATACATACATACATACATACATACATACATACATACATACATACATACATACATACATACATACATACATACATACACACGCACATACATACATACATACATACATACATACATACATACATACATACATACATACATACATACATACATACATACATACATACATACATACATACATACATACATACATACATACATACATACATACACACACACACACACACATACATACATACATACATACATACATACATACATACATACATACATACATACATACATACATACATACATACATACATACATACATACATACATACATACATACATACATACATACATACATACATACATACATACATACATACATACATACATATTACATACATACATACATACATACATACATACATACATACATACATACATACATACATACATACATACATACATACATACATACATACATACATACATACATACATACATACATACATACATACATACATACATACATACATACATACATACATACAGTTACTTACTGCAGTTCACACACAACATAATAATCGTTTCCAACGATTGGGGTGAGGTTGTGGAAAGTGAAGGTTACTTCATTCCATAACAGGGCTTCCACTGTTGAGTTAAGACACATATTATGTTTGTGTACTTCTGGTGAGTTAGAGCAAACACACAGATTCATTCATAAATATAAACACATGCTCAAACTGAATGTAAGAAATATAAGGGACAAATACATCTTGTCTTCACGTCACGAGTCATATTAGGAGGCATATTAATTACTGTACTTGGGAATAAACCACACAGTAATTGTATAACTTTGGTTTCTCTATTTCTAGAATGGTCCCCACCAAAACATCACACACAGCGATAAACACAAAGTGCCACCATGCGGATAAGGATCACCCTTGCAGAGGTCCCAGAAACCCCGTTTAACCATTAGGTTATATTAGCCCCCCCCCCCCCCCCCCCCCACACACACACACACACAAGCGCTTGCCTGGCTTGAAACACAAAAATACACCCGCGTGTGTATACTCAGTGATTCAATGAGTATGATCCGGAGGGTTCAGGCAGGTTCAGTGCGAAGACAATGGCTTGAATCATTACAGAAGTCCACTGTCCGTGGAGTCACCTTTATTTTTGTTCCGGGATACGCAGGCGTCGATGGAAATGAAAGAGATGACAGGTTGGCTGGATCCGCTATCACTACCGACGGTCAGCCTATGGATCATGCTGATATTATCAATGCCCTCAGAGAAATGGGAAGGATAGACGACTTTGGTGGCAGTGAATCCACATCACTCGCCAGAATGGCAGACTTGGGAATTAAGATCGGCACAGCAAAAAACGAGACGCACACCAGCTACGCCAGAAGACTTGTTAATCAACATAGAACTGGTACTATTAGCCATCGGACGTTGGGGTTCATACTGAGGGGAGGATCTGAGCACCTATGGACATGTCCGGAGTGCAATGAGGATAACCCAACTAACTAACTAACTAACTAACTAACTAACTAGCCCATCCCCACCCCCCCCCCCCCCCCCCCCGACTCCTGGCCAGAGCCATTTTGGGCTTTGAAATAATGAAAAATTCTATTCCACAAGGGGACGACTTGTATAGGAGGAGGCAAGAGCCTCAGGTGCCCTTAGGGGCAGCGGTGGAGACAAGGATGAAGTAGACGACCCAAAAATGAATATTTTACACCACGGAATTGTAACTCTTAAGTCCCTGCCCAGGGTGGAGTGGGAGCAGCTTTCTAAATAAATTCTGTTTATGGTGCGCGCCACCGCCCTTTCAACTGCCCCATTACATCAAATAGAGCGGTCGTGTGGACTTTAGGAAAAACTGTTCTATGGGGCCCCTGTTACTCCACCCAGGGCCGTGACTCGGGGACCAGCTCCCATACCCTGAATAAAAATGGTTACAATTTGATAGCAGACCTCATTAACTTCGATTTTAACAATGGTATTCACATCCAACTATTGAAAAAGCAACGACAAACTAATAATGTAAAATTGCTTAGTAATATAGCAACATCAGACAGGGGGATAAGTTTATGTTGATTATGCAACGTTTAATAAAGGATACACAATTATAATAAAAAGGCGAGCATACACAGCAGGAGTCTACCGGCCATCAGTAGAACATCCTTCATCGACAATTGTTTCTCCCCCATATCATCCTAAACAATATCGGAAGGTGGGCCAACCTTGGTAATGACGCCAGGCCCAAGTAAATCTCCCGCTGCGCTTGATGGAACACGTATTTTATCGGACGAAACGAAGATGAATCAACAGGTACTGGTGCGATTTGGTTCATTTGTCGGTGGTGTATTGTTCGCTCGATCGCGACCAGGCCTAAAGCTAGTGACTCATTTATGCGCCGGACTTCTGCTCTATCGGATAACTTGGAATCGTACACGCGGCCAAGGTTCTTTACTGGTTCCTCCAGAACCGTGGGGATCCTATTCTTTTCCACCGTAAAACTGATTTCCGCCACCTTACCTTTCAGGAATGACAAACTCCTCAACTTCTACAGTTTGAATTGCATTCCGCACCATTCAACAACGCTGTGGAACAATTTTAGAATTTCGCGGGCGTCTACCTCACTGCCCGTTATTATAGTAGTGTCATCCCTAAATTCACGTTGTGGCGGCATCCACTGGTCCCCAATCTTAATGATTTGCCCGTAGCCTGCCGCCCCATCTAACATGACCTGCATGGCCATCACGAAAAGTACAGGCGAAATTGTACACCCCATTGCTATCCCAACCTTAAGTTCAGTCCATCTCGTCGTAAACGTCGCGGTAGAGAACCGTATATCGAATTTAGAGAAGTATTGTTTTATAAAGCATGTGCCAGAGTAAAGCTTGTAGTTAATAAGGCTAAAAGAGATAAATGGACAGATACTTGCTCCAACTTAGACCTTAGACAGAATGGAAATAAAGCATGGACTTTAGTTAAAAACCTCTCCGGAGAAAGTAGAAGGGTGAACCCAAAACCAGTGACAGATGTGAGTAAGACAATTACTGAAGACAAGAAGAAAGCAGAACATTTCAATCATTATTTTGCCTCAGTTAACAGAGCAGGTAAGCTATCAGAACTCAATAGAACACAGCTTTCTCAGTTGAAGAAACAAGAGAGAGCTCCAACAGCCAGCGACTCGCTTTTTGAAAATGAATTTAGCATGGATGAATTAGAGCAAGCCCTGAAGAAATTAAAACCTAGAAAATCTCCAGGCCCAGATAAGATCCACAACGAAATGCTGCTACATCTTGGCCGGTCTGGGAGAGAAGTAGTTCTCAGGCTTATTAATAAAACTTGGAGGTCAAGCAAACTTCAAAAGGCATGGAGGAATGCATATATCGTCCCCATTCTTAAAACCAAAAAGCCTCCAGATGACCCCAAAAGCTACCGCCCGATATCCTTAACATCATGCTTGGGCAAAGTTGCAGAAAGAAATATATACAGGCGCTTATATTGGTTCCTTGAGAGTTCTGGTGTTCTTTGCCATGAACAGGCAGGCTTCAGAACCAACAGCTGCACAGAAAACCAGCTGTTCAGGCTGACACAAAGAATACATGATGGCTTCCAGAATAAGAAACACACAGTCGCAGTCTTTGTCGACCTCCAGCAGGCCTATGACAGAGTATGGAGAAAAGGTCTCCTGATGAAGATGATGAGCATAGGAATACATGGCAGATTGTGTAACTGGGTGAAATACTTCCTGATAGATAGAACAATCCAGACTAAGATGCACAACGCAATCTCTTCTAAAGAAGTCTTGGAGGAGGGCTTGCCACAAGGCTCATCATTGAGATGTACACTATTCCTAATCTTTATCAATGACCTGCCAGAACAAATCAAGGCCGAAAAAGCCTTGTACGCTGATGACCTAGCAATATGGCAGAGTCATGAAAATGTGGAAAGTGGAGCCCAAAGACTGAATGGAGACCTTAGAAGACTGCATGAGTACTGCCAAAGATGGAAACTCAAAGTTAACTGTGCAAAGACGGTCTACACAATCTTTACCAAAAGTCACCAAGTAGCAAGGAAGAATATTAACCTGAGGTTAGACAAACACCAAGTGATGAAAGAAGAGCATCCCACATACCTTGGAGTCATACTTGACCGGCAGCTCAGCCTCAAGAACCATATTGAAAACATCAGGAATAAGGCATTGAGGCGGTTACAGTTATTAAAGAGACTTGCAGGCACATCATGGGGATCAGACAAGGAAACTCTGAGGGGCTTATGTCTAGGATATGTTCGCTCTGTGATAGAGTACAACAACTCACTGCTTACAACTTGCTCCAAAATTAACCTAGAGACTCTTGACAGAGTACAAAATAATGCCCTCCAATTAATCTGCGGAGCTTTGCAGTCTACACCAACTGCTGCATGTGAAATTCATACAAATGTGGAACCCCTCGGGCTGCGGAGAGAAAAAGCCACTTTAGAAAATTATGAAAGATGCGTTAGGAAAAAATCGTAACCATCCTAATAGACATCTCGTAGAAAACTGGGAATACAAACAAAGAATAAAGCACAAATCGGTTTTACACTGTGTTAATTAAATTCAGGACAGATACCACCTCCCAGAAAGACGTCAAGGAATTCAGAATGTTGCAAGAAACCTACCACCACATGCTCGTTTTAAAGCTCCAGAAGTCCGAACTAAATTGGTAGGCGAGGAAACCAAACAGTCCGACCCAATCGCTCTTATGAACTCATCACTAAAGACCATTGATTCTTACCCCCAAGAATGGATACATGTCTATACTGATGGATCAGCATTTAAAGCTACCATTAAAGCAGGTTACGGAATCTACATATGTTATCCCGATGGATCTGTTGAAGAGATTGTTGATGCATGCGGGGAATTCTGTTCAAACTATGAAGCTGAAATAATTGCACTGGAAACAGCAGTATACCACCTAAAGACTGTAATGGATGTTTACCCTTCAAAGGTCCAAAATATTGTCATCTTCACAGATTCAATGTTTGCCCTTCAAGCTCTGGAGGGCAGTGAACGCTGCAGAACTGACATAGCCAAAATAATCCTGGATGCTGATCAGCTTATTACCTCATACAACATCAGAATAGTGATGCAGTGGATCCCAGGTCACTCCGGCATACCAGGTAATGACAGAGCTGACAGATTGGCAAAGAAAGGAGCAACACAAGAACAACCACCTACAGCGACAACCCTCCAGACAGCAAAAACACTGATAAGAGCTATAAACAAAGAGACTTGGTTGAACAGATGGGCCATGGGAGACACTGGAAGAGACGTTTATAGACATATGTCTGGCCCTGATCCTAATGACAGCATTAACCATCTAACAAGAAGGGACCAGGCCACCATCTTCAGACTTAGAACGCAACATACTCCACTCAATGGACACCTAAGCAGAATACAGCCACAACACTCCCCAGAGTTCCAGCTATGTAACTACCCTACGAAACTGTTGAACACCATATCTTTGAGTGCCCAAAACTCAGTGAGACAAGAAGAACGCTACTTCCTCCGAGACCAGACAAGTGGAACACCTTGTACGGAGGAAAAGAACAGCTTGTGAAAACATGCAAATTCCACTACATGGCATT